AATAACAGTGCTGTGTATTTAAAAAACCCAGTTTACTTCTAGTCACCATAACTCAATCCTGTATATACCTGAGTACTTACATGCATATGCATAACTTTACTAATACCGATCGTACTGGTCCTGCGTGGCACTGCGTGCTGCGCAGCTATCTTATGGATAAATGATGTACAGTACATCACTTATAAACAAATAGTATATACAGTATATAGCTAAGTGGATATAGTTTGTTGTTATCTTTTGGCTTTGCTGTTGCTCGACTCAAGGGAGTCCAGCTTTATCGAAGAGTGTGCAAATACTATATCACATAGAGACAAAATATACACGATCACGTAAACCATCAAGTATTATTATGCTTATGACTGTTCCCGTTCACAAAAAAGATCTCGCCATTTGGATTGATGGCATACGAATAATTTCTGGAAATCCTGGAGAATATATACAAACACAAAATCATGGGGGCTACCATTGTAATCCTTTAAGAATATTGCAAAATTGGACGAGTGAAATAATAATATTGATGATTATATTAGAAGATATTAACTTATTCCTAGTAATAAAGATAGCCATTGGGATTGATGGCATATGATTAATTTCAAGAAATTCTGAAGAACATATACAATCACGTAGACCATCAAGTACTGTTATGCTTATGACATTATCTGGTTCACAAAAAAGACCTGTTGAATTTTTAATGGAAGTTGATCAATATTTACTTTCAAATGAAAAATAACATTTGATAATAGCAATGCACATATTGTAACCAATATAATACTATACCACATAGATAGAAAGTGCAAGACCAAGAAGCACTTTTACTAGGAACTTTTCTCTAATGGTACTGGAAGCATTTCACAAATAGAGTAGATAAACAGAAGGGTTTCGAATATAATCAGAGATCAGGAAGATAAATAATGTTTGAGCAGAATTTTGTATGAAAATGATCAGAGATCCGCTGCTATAGGTGAATCTAACGTGATGAATGAAGTTAAAAATTGTTATACAAAGAAATTGGAGTTGAAAAGAAAGAAGATAAATATAAGACATGTAAATAGTATCTGAAATCTTTTGACAGCAAAATGAACAATGTTGGTTATTATTGTCAAACAGAAAAAGAAAGAATTCTGCTGATATAGATAATGTTGATATATCAAATAGAGTTGTTGATACCATGGATGATATTCAAGGAGGTGGAACAGATAAGCCAAAGAAAAATGCTTAAGAAGCATTGAATCTTGAATGTTGATATCATAAGGGAATTGGAGTTGAGAAGGATAAGCGAAAAGCATTCAGATACTATCAGAAAGCCACCGAAATAGATCATATTAAAGGAATATATTACATTAGTTGTTGTTATAAAAGGTATTGCATTGAAAAAGATGACCACAAAGCCTTCGAGCATGTCAAAAAGCCACTGATAATAGGTGATATTGGAGTATTCAAAGGAATTGGAGTCAATAAGGATGACTACAAGGCATTTGAATAGTATCAAAATCTGCTGTCTTACTGAAGGTGCATTTAATATTGGACACTGTTATAATAATGGAATTGGAGTCAAAAGAACGACTACAAGGCATTCGAGAATTATTAAAAATTTGTCAACAAGAATCATGTTGAAGGAGTTGTTATAGAACAGTTTATTATTTTATTGGTTTATTATTCTGATATTGTATTTTATTATTTATTTTATTATTAACTCTCAGACTTGAATATTGTTTCGGGGCTTAGTTTTAATTTTTTAGTTTTGAAATTTATTAATTTTAAGTAATATTTTAGTAGAATAGTTTAATTTTTTTGTTTTTTAAAATTTAGTTAATAGTTTTCTAGATAATGTTCTGAGTTTAATTTTAATTTTTTAT